ACGAGACATGGAGGAGGTAGCACTAAGCTCACCTGGGCCACCATTGACAGAGGGGTGGAAGTTGGGTGTTTGGACCAGGTGGAACAACGTCAGGTACGCCTGCAAAGGCAGAAGAGAAAGGAAAGAGATGCGACCGCTTCTGGGACCCCGGGAGTAACAAGGATTGTTACAGACGTATTGGCACAGCTAGGGTATGCAACAGAGCCTGTGGTGCAAAGGAGGGTGGTGACGGCTGTTAAAGTAAAAGGAAAAGAGCCAGTGATAGAGGAGGCTGACCAGGAGGAGCTCTGGGAAGAGGAAGAGCCGGTGCCGCAACACCTGACGAAGGTCCAGCGCAAAGTGTGTAATTTGGCGCAGGGCGGACAGGGATCAGGAAAAGCGCAGGCGCCTCAAACCCAGGCAGCAGCCCCTTTAAATGTGGCGGCTCCATCATCTAGTACAGGCCCCTCGCAAGGCAGGGCGCCCTCCTATGGACAGTGGCCCTGGCCAGTGATCAACGCAATTGTGCCATGGGGAAGTACGCCGCCAGTAGCCGGACCGCAAACGAGTATGCCACCACCCATCTACCCCGCGGCCCAAGCCCAACCTGTGGCCCCGCCACCGTCACCTGATCCCTGTTCACAGGGCAGTGTTGTAGGGGGTGGGAACCAGGGGCAGGGCAATCAAGGCAATGGAGGGAGGGGTGGAGGAGAGGGGCGAGGAAGGAATGACGGCGGAAGAGGAAGGCAATGGAATGGCCAAGGCCAGGGGTACCAAGGCCAAAGGAGTCAGGGCCAGGGGTACCAAGGCCAAGGGAGTCAGGGCCAAGGGTACCAAGACCAGGGCTATCAAGGCAAGGGGTATCAAGGCCAGGGGGATCAGGGAAGTCAGGGGTATGGAAGACCCCGCTTTGACTGGAGGACGGCCATCTGTCAACATTGTGACCAACAAGGTCACACTATAAGATTCTGTAATATAAGACGGGAAGACGAGAGAAGCGGGCTGATTTCCTCTACTATGGATGGGGATATCTACGATCARTTTGGGGAGGCCATTGACAAAAGGCTTGGAGGAGTGAGAGCTGAAGCCCAACGAAGAGCGGCAGCGGGACCACCGCCCCCTGCCATGTTCAGGCTATGGCAGGAAAAGGAGGAACCATCGTTTGGGGTGGAAGAAGGGGGAAGTAATGAGGAAGTGACTCAAGGGCTACGAGGAGGAAGTGAGACGGAAGAGGCCATAATCATCGAGTCAGATGACGAGGAGAAGGAGGAAAAAATGGAGCCTCCGTCCGTCTTATTGGAGAGGATGAAGGACTTGCTGGATAAGATGGGGAGGTACCAACAGAAGTTGGTGGGCCTCTGTAAAGAAGTGAAAGGATGGAGGTCTAACATCCCCACAGTATTCCTCTATGACTCCGGTCCGGAGTCAGCGCCTAGGCGACCCGGAGTAAATGTGGTGAGGTCGTGCCTTCAACCAGGAATAAGGGGGAGACCCCTCACTCCGCAAGCCCGGCTGGCACAGGCAGCGCGAACAAGGAATCAAGCCAAGGCCAGTACCAGCCAAGAGCCTCCAAGGGGGGAACACGAACCAGGGAGAAGGAAGGAGGCTGTGGAAGTAGAGGACGATGA